AAAACGGCTATGACTACATTGTCTGTTTTAGCATTACCAAATTTTAACAAGCCCTTTTCCCTAGAAACATATGCATATAATGTTGCCATTAGTGTTGTTCTTCCACAACAAGTTCATCCCATAGCATGTTTTAGTAAGAAGTTGGGTCCTCAAATGCAATTGGCTTCTACCTAAGCTAAGGAAATGCTTGCTATCACAAAAGCGGTTCACAAATGGCGAAAATATTTGATTGGCAGGCCATTTACCATTTTCACAGGTCAGCAGAGCCTAAAAAACCTTATATCCCCTACCATTCAAACTCCAAAGCAGCAAAAGTGTCTTATCAAACTTCTGGGATTCCAATATACCATTCGGTATTGACCTGGAAAAAATAATCAGGGGGCTAATGCTAATTCCATACTCTCAATGGCAGTTATAATGCGACCACAAGGCCTATTTTTTCATTTTTTGGATCAACTCAAACAATATTATAGTGCCTCTGCAGATGGTAAAGCTTTGATAGCTAATGTGGAGCGAGATAACAACTCACTTTCTGGATTTTATTCTTCTGATGGGCTTCATTGATTTGCTGGTAAGATTTTGATACCTGAAGGGCACCACTTACAACAAACCCTACTTAAAGAGTTTCATTCTTCTCTTGTGAGAAGACAAGCTGGCATCTCAAAGACCTTTGCTCATTTGTCTACAAATTTTTACCGGCCAAACAGGCGAGAATCAATCAAGACATTTATCAAAGAATGTCACACATGCCGGCAAGCAAAGTATATAACCTCAAAGCAAAGAGAATTATTACAACAACTATCGAGACCGTTTCACATTTGGCAAGACATAGCGAAGGACTTCATCACACATCTTCCAGTATCCCAAGGCAAGTCTGCCATTTGGGTGGTAATGGATTGTTTATCCAAATATGCCTATTTTGTGGCCATTCCATCCTCTATCACAGCTCCACAATTGGCTAAACTCTTTGCTAACGATATTGCATGACTTGATGGCCTTCCATGATAGTCAGTGATCACCAACCATTTTTGGAAAGAGTTTTTCAAGTTACAGGGGACCACACTATGCCTTAACAATGCCTACCATCCACAAACTGATGGACAATCTGAAGTTTTGAACCGCTATTTAGAAACTTATCTACGCTGTTTTGTCAGTGAACAACCTCGACACTGGGTTCGTATCCTACACTGGGCTAAATGGTGGTAGCACATCATTTCATAGCAGCATTTGTATAACACCATTTGAGGCTATTTACAGTCTTCCACCACCCATAATTGCTTCATATATTGTTTGCAGCTCTAATATAGCTTCACTTGATAACAACCTCAGCAAGAGACAGAACCTGTTAACCAGGTTACAAGCCAATATGGAACGTGCTCGAAACCGTATGAAGATGCAAGCTGATCGTAACAGAATCGAGTGTTTACGGAAGGGGATTGGGTGTTTGTCAAACTCCAACCCTATCGACAATGCTATGTGGTTTATAGACCTCATCAACAATTGGCAAAAAAATAAGTCATTTTTCACTCTACCTTATAGGAGACTTCATTCATGGAAAAAAAAGGATAAAGACTTCTTTTTGCTTAATTTGTTCTCCTCTTCGACATTTTCACTCGTTAATTTTTTTGAGTCTAAACTTGCTTATTCTGAGTTCAAGTCAAATACTGAATTTGAGTCTAAATCTATTCCAAACATAGAAGATGTGACAAAGGATAATATTATTTTTTATTCTATAAAAGAATTACAGGTGTACTCAAGAAAGAAAGTTCTAGACCTTAAACCAATGCAAGTCCAAGAACCTGATCTTGACTCTAGAAATAAAGTAACTACAGTCTTTGACTTTATTTCTCAAAATAAGCATGAATTTTTTAAAACTATAACTAATGATTATGATCTGCTTATTACCATTAGGAAAGGAACCAGAGAATGTACTAAGCATTCACTATACCTAATTTCTAATTTTGTGTCATTTGAAAAATTCTCACCATTCCACAAAAATTTTCTTGTGAGCCTAAACATTATTTCTATTTCAACTACATTTTTCAAGGTATTATCCAATGAGAAATAAAGGCAAGCCATAAAAATAGAAATAGAGGCCTCAAAGAAAAATAAGACATGAGAACTTGTAGAGTTGCTTAAAGGAAAAAATCTAGTTAGGTGTAAATGGGTTTCACTGTAAAATAAAAAGCGGATGATACTGTTGAAAGATATAAAGTCAAGTTGGTGGCTAAGGGCTACACTCAAACTTATATAATGGATTACTAGGAAACTTTTGCTATAATTGTCAAGATGAATACAGTTAGAATTTTATTATCATTGGTTGCAAATTACACTTGATAGCTTCAACAATTTAATGTAAAGAATGCTTTTCTTCATAGTGATTTGGAAGAAGAAAAATATATGAAGGTTCTACCAGGATTTGTAGGTCATCTAGAAACAAACAAAGTATGCAAGCTAAAAAGGGCTTTATATGGCCTTAAATAGTCTCTTAGAGCTTGGTTTGGGAGATTTGCCAAAGCGATGCTAGCAATGAAATATAAACAGAGTCAAAGGAATCACATATTGTTTATCAAACATTCCGATTCAGGGAGAGTCACAATTCTATTAGTGTATATTGATGATATAATTGTAACTAGAAATGATGACAAAGAGAGAGAATCTCTAAAATAGTGTTTCGCTAGAGAATTTGTGATAAAAGAGCTAGAGAGATTGAAGTACTTCCTAGGAATTGAAGTAGCTCACTCACAGCATTGTATTTTCATCTCACAATATAAATATGTGATGGATCTTTTGAAGAAAACTGAGAAGCTCGCATGTAAACCTACAAATACCCCTATAGATCTTAATCATAAACTTGGAGAAACTAATGAAAATATTGCTGTAGATAGAGAAATGTACCAGAGATTAGTTGAAAAAGTCATTTATCTCTTATATACTAGACCTGATACAGCATATGTTGTGAGTATTATAAGTCAATTTATGCATAATCCTAAAGAAGTGCACCTACAGACTGTTTATCATGTATTGCACTATTTGAAGGCTAATCTTGGGAGAGATATCTTATTCAAAAAAAATTCATGACTGATTCTAAAAGCATATACAGATGTAGATTATGCAAATTCAGTAACTGATAGAAGATCCACCTCAGGCTACTACACTTTTTCTTAGTGGTAATCTTGTGATTTGGAGGAGTAAAAAACATAATGTAGTAGCAAGATTAAGTGCTAAAACAGAGTTGAGAGCAATGGCTCAAGAAATTTGTGAACTACTATGATTAAAGATTATCCTAGAAGACTTGAAGATCAAGTGGGATGAACCATTAAGACTCTACTTAGATAACAAGTTTGCAATAAGCATTGCACACAATCTTGTGCAACATAACAAAACAAAACACATTGAAGTAGACCAATATTTCATAAAGGAGAAACTAGACAATTGATTGATTTGTACGTCATATCTATCAACCAAGAGTCAACTTGCAGATGTGTTGACTTAAGGTCTCAGCAGTGCAATATTTCAAGAAATTATTTTCAAGCTAAGAATAGAAAACATATATTCACCAACTTGAGGAGAAGTGAGAAAACATCTATTTACAGTTAATTGTAATATTATAATTTGTATATTTATATTTATATTTATATCTTTAAAATTAAGCATTTATATCTCTAGAATTAAAGACAAAAAATTAGGATAAATAATCTCTCAATTAGAGGATTAGTTTTAAGAATATTTAATTTTCTAGTTTACCACTAGTTAATTGTATATAAACCTAAGGTGCTTTGTATAATTTTTATTGAGCAATTTTTCAATATACATTCAGTTTTACTCTTAATTTTTCACACAGTTTTATTTCTTAATTTTTCACACTTTGGTCCATTCCAAATTACTTGTAAAATTAGCCAGGTAGCTTATAAAGTGAAACTTCCACAATCAACCAAGATACATCATGTTTTTCATGTCTCTCTCCTCAAAGCATGCCATGGACAGCCTCCGTTTATTTCATCCCAATTACCAGATGATGCCATTAATAATGATCAACCCGTTCTTGAACCTGGCAAGATCTTTCAACACAATGACTGACTTCTCAAGCAGCTACTCGTACAATGTAAAAATCTATCACCATCTGAAGCCTCCTAGGAGTGGGAACGGGACACAGCCTTGCAGTATCCTCATTTCAACCTGGAGGACAAGGTTGCTACTAGAGAAGGAAGTAATGATAGAAAACCCAAGCACAGATGTTGGCAGTCAACTGCGAGCCCAAGACCATAGTCCAAGACGTGTCAAAAAGGCCACTAGCTGAACCAAGGATTTTGTCATGGGATGACAATAAAGTCGGTTATAGTGCATGTAATTACATTATTAGCTGATGACTCATTATGAAACAGTTATTGTACAACTGGCAGTTGTTATATACCTATGCTGAATGAAAGAAAAATATAGAAAATTCCCAATTTCTTTGACTCATTCTTCTCTTTCTCTTTTCTTTCTCCTTTTTCTCTAACCTCCTTTCTATTATGTAAGTTCATATCGGATTTAATCCTGAATCTAGAGATCATCTATTTTTGTCATGTCTTTTCTCTATCAAGTTTGGGCTACTCTTTAACAAATCTCTAACATCCATCACGTTGTCGATGATTGGAACTTTGAATTTCAATGGGCAATTTGTTCCCTCAAAGGTAAGTCTTTGAAATCTATCACTCTCAAACTTGCTTAGACAGCTTATATCTATTTTATTTGGAAGGACAGAAACCAAAGAATATTTGGCCCATCCCCATGCAGTGTTGATTCTATTCTTGCTTGTATCAAGGACGCAATTCAACTAAGGATTTGTAACTCCTCTCAGCTAGTCACATCCTCTAGGAACTATAGTTTCTTTTTTTCATGGGGACTTATTAGTTAACAGTTTTGTAAATTTGTCATACCATAGTTTAACAAGTTTACTGTACCACACTTGGTCTGCTTCTTTGAATGAATAAATGCATTTATCCAAAAAAAAAAAAAAAACTCTGAGCTTAACAATATTAATTTATGTAACAATCTTTAAGATGTGACATTTTATTGGCTAAGGTTTAAATTTTAGCACCTAAAACTCCTTTCTACATCCCCATGCAGCTTCCTTTGTAACAAAAAAAAAAAAAAAAGAAAACACAACCAAAAGAAGCCTTGGTTCAACCAATTCAGATAACTGCACAAGTAAAAAAGGGGCTAAAAAGCTTTATCAGTGAAGCTACTGAACTATCCAAACGAGACTTCACCAAGGAATTTTTAGAGGGAAAAAGGTCGACATTGGTAATAAATAGTATCAACAATCGGTGCACACTGGTGAATCATGCTTCGAGCACAGAACATGTATCAGCAACCTTTTATTATTCCTCCATTATTCATAGCCTATTTTTTATGGTTGTTCACTAGGAAATCTTACCTTGATGGAATAGGCAATAAGCCATTTGGATTATTACTGATGAACTTTCATCAGTAGCATCATAAATAAAAGGTACTAAACCTCTTGGACAAAGCACATTAGACTTGAATGTCTTCAACCAGCCATATCAACTCTCTAATATTTAAACAACTGGTACTATCTTATGATTTTATAATCATAAAGGGACATCCAGGCAAAGTAGATTTCTACATTTCCGAGAAAATTAATTGCCTAAATCATTTTAACTCTTCAACACAGTTATTAACACAATAGAGGGCCAGATAAGTAAAACATTAAAAATTAACGTGCATGCAGCAGTGGTGTCATAGTCAGGCCTTGGTGTGCCTTGGTCATGCCATGACTGACCCTGAGCTGAGCAGTTATCGAGACCAAGCTGGCGGGAAAGTGGTTCTAATAGATGCGGGCGTGCATTTGGAGCATTGGAACAGGTTACTAATATGTTGTGCGGGCAGTGGGAGCCCTGGACCGCAAGATACGTAGGTAAGTGTAAGGCAGTGCGCCGGTGCCCTAGGACCAACTAGCCAGTCAGGTGCTGTCAGTTGAAGGCATGTGCAGGCACTTTCGAGTGGGTTGATGGAGCAATGAGTAGAATCAAGGAATAATGGTGACCAAAAGGAAGGTTATGGGGCCCTGAGTTAGTCGGAGAAAGGCCCTGAGATGGCTAGGGAGAAAAGTGTCCCCATTTCAGACAATCTTATGGTTACTGGTAGGAAACTGAAAAAATCTCTTACGCTCTTTATAGTGGATGACTGGTGTCAACTCTCCACCACCTCCTTGGCTAGCGGGCAGACAGAGGCCTAACTAGTCTGAAGTGAGCTACTCCTAGACACTAGTGGTGTCTAGGTGGGCAGGCATCGTAGGGTCACGAGTGTGGCACGATGTTTCCTCGGCTCATGGTAAACCCAGGGACGGTTGGGGCCAGCAGGCCTCATATCACGCCTTCGCGTTGAGCCATGAGATTACACAGTAGAGTTCGCTATGCCCCTCGATTTCCCCTCCTTGAACCAAAAGGATCATGAGATGGTGTTTGCGTAGGAAGGATGCCATCGAGCCTGAGGGATGTGCGGGCTAGCAGGCAGGCACGCTGCTAGACCCTTGTGGCCAATCGGTAGAGGTATGCTGCAACTAGGGCAGTCCACCCAAGTCCCCCTTGCGGGATTAGCATGATGTTGGGTGTCAATCATGCGTGCGGGCAGTCTACATAGAAGCTAAGGGCCTAAGCCCTAAGAACTGAATCCCGTGGGATGAGATGAGCCTAAAGGCTCCGAGCTAGCTGCTGACCAGCATAAGTGTTGTGCTTGTGTAAACTTGATATGAAAGTTTGCGTACAATACGGGCGGGCATGGTGTTGGGTTCTCACCATGTCAAGAAGTAATAAAATCATGAGAACCGGGGCTGCATGCCCCACGGGTATTCAAGGGTCGGTGCTCAAGACCTTAAGCCCTGCGGGCAAAGATGGGTGCTCGGGGCCACTTTGAGAATCGCGGGCTGATGAGTGACGGGAGTTGGGTTCCTCCCTATAGAGTTCGAAATGAATAACCCTACGGGGTCAAAGCCAAAGAAAAGGCTCCTATGTATGCGGCTTGAAGGATTGAAATTGAGCTGTCCAAGGAAAATTGGACTCGAGGGAAGGCTGATCTCGACTACGAATAGTCTTGGTGCCGCATGGACACGTGGTTTCAGAATAAGAAACGCACGGAGTGGCTTGTTGTTAAGCTTGCAAAACAAACACCCAAGGATACTGGTAAATATGACATAAATAAACTGCACATTTATGACGTGAAAATGCTTACAGAATACAATATACCTATGAAGATCATTAAAGCTTCAGTTCCAAAGTAAAGCTCCGTTTCTACAACTGGAGAAGTTCTACCAGGTACACCTGAAAAGCTATCCTACTCAGTCATCTTTGCATGATAACCGGTATGTTCGAGTGACACGGATCTGAAGGAGATAAAAAAAAAAAAAATACATATGCATGTTAGAGCTTCAATTTCAACATTCTTGCAGACATGATACATTCATCTTATTCTCATCATAAAAGCAACATTTGCACAGTGCAGCCTTGGTAGACACAAGTATTATCTTACTGAAGAGTTATGATTGTTTGAAGCCAATCCTACAGCTTGAACTTCAAAATGCAGATAACCATGTCATAATTGGCTTGCAAAAGTACTTAGAAACAAATTATATTTATTTATATCACATGTTCCACAACATTCACTTGTGCAAACTTTTTTATCTGTTTTTAGTATTTATTCTTTTTTCAAGCTACTAACATCATTTAGATACTTCATGTTTATACTGCTAGGTTTTCACTGTCATAATTGTTGAATATCAGTAGAGAAAGCAAGTTTGTGCTTTAATTGTTTCAATATTGTTTATGCCCCAGGTCACTGGATCATTAGTCTGACCATCCCTGTATGCACAGATTTCATTGACTATATTTCCTGCAATTTACATCTTTTACACCAGCGCTTCTATCTCATTTAATGTAAAATATAAACATTCATTGGATAAAAATTATTTGCAGGAATACTTGGTCATTACAAATCTTGTATACATCATCCATCATTGTTGTATTTTCTAACTTTTGCACTCACTAAGACCTTGTTTGTCATTATGGTGCAGGCCCAAATTACTGGTTCGAGCATCCACCACAAAAAAGGGCAAACAACTCTACTTTTGGCTAAAAAATTTACAGCTGGGGTTGATTTACTCCCCACACTAAGTTCAATCAAAAAAGCAACTTTCAAGCTTCATAAACAATTGGAATACTAAAAGCTCTTATTAAATAACAAAATGCCAAGAAAACTATTCCTTCATAATTACCATAAATTATAATCAATTTATTATATCTATTGTGGTTGTGAAGAACATAACTTTGACATATTTTTGACATTTCAACACATCAAAATACTTTATCACAACAATGCCAAACTTTTAGATTATAGAAACATACTTTTCCACAGCAGTTTTCAATCATAATTTTCAAACCTTATTTTCAACGTCAAATTTTCCCCCACAATTTTCAACCGCAACTAAAGTGTCAAACTAGGGCAAATTAATATTTAAATATTAATGACATCATGATCCCGTTATAGTATAACAATAACAATTGGCTCAACAATCTATCACTTTTGACATAATTAGTTTTATCAGTTGATAACAGTTTGGATTCTAAAACTTTGAATATAACAAAATTTTTTTCTCCTTCCCCCATATGCTCTATCAGCATAGAACAAATCTGGAATGACGACAGACAAAATGCATAAGAGGTTGAATAACCATAAAACTTTGAGCAGGCAACGTGTGCTGTCCATATGATCCCTACCTCAACACCATTTAAAAATGACCAATTTGGTTGTAGCAATTTATTTCCGTACTTACACTATACCTATTATAGAAAAATATAAGTAATCTTATAAATTTCCATGTTAGCTTAAATTTCAGTTATCGTAAACCTCATTATTTTTGTAATTCATAATTAAAAAATGCCAAACTTCTACTAATTTCAAATGAGAGGTATTGATGGAAGATTCAAATGATAATACATTTATTTGGCAAGAAAATAGTACAATGCTTAAGCATTTATAAAATAAAGTGACATTGATTACCTGTGCAAATGCATAGATAGCTCGCAAAATTCTGGCATAATCTGTTCCTAGCATCTGAATGACAACGTCAGCCAGAAATGTTCCCCACAACCTGTATTACATGATATTACACATTCAGATTTGAAAAGAGCAAGGCATAAATATTGATAATAGCAATACAGGTGGCAAATTTTTAAGTCAACGATTAAGCTGAAGACAGCTTGTCATAATTTGAGACAAAATGATCATTCAAATCTACTTGGGAAAGGTGTAACCAGACAAGATGAGATGAATAGATGCCTACCAGAACAGTTAAGATGACCACGTTTGTAACAACTGCCTATCTTAATAACAACCAAATAACCAAAATCTAAGCCTTTTCCCACTATGTCAGTTGAGTACATGGCACATATTTTGCCACTTTGCTCTATTCAAGACCACATTCTCAACAAGGTCAACAAGAAACATGTCCTCATTATTGTTCCAATCAACCTGGTTCCTCTCTTCATCTCATCATAGGTATTTCCCATTAAATCATATCTTCTCGTGGGGGAACTTCTAGGTCTCCTTTTCACATGTCCAAAACACCTTAAACATGTTTCCACGTTTTGTCCTAAATGAATTCAAGATACTTTGATATCATTCGTTAGCTGTTCTAAGGATGAAATTTAATGTGGAGAAAATGAAAACCTTTTTCATGATACTAGACCAGTATAACTTGCTATTTGTGTTGGATTGGAACAGCGATTGTTAGATGGCCTGGAAATGGGGGCAGAGTGAGAATAGAGGCCGAGAACTTCCATAAAAAGATGCATGTAGAAGTTCAAATTTTGACTTTAGTCCCTGTATTATACAAAAATATTGGGTTTAACCCCTACACTATTGTCTGGATAAATTGGATCCTTATACTCTCAAAAAATGTTAAATCAAGGCTTTTAGTGCCACTATCACAAGAAGCCCAAGCTAGTGATAATAAAAAGGCTTTTATTGCAAATATTCGGCAGATCAGTAAGGAGGTCAAGAGCAATTAAGCATATGCTGCTGCTGCTGACAATCAATATGGACAAAAGTTTGAAGAAGGTACTAGTATAGCTTGCTATTTGTGTTGGATTGGAACAGCGATTGTTAGATGGCCTGGAAATGGGGGCAGAGTGAGAATAGAGGCCGAGGACTTCCATAAAAAGATGCATGTAGAAGTTCAAATTTTGACTTTAGTCCCTGTATCATACAAAAATATTGGGTTTAACCCCTACCCTATTGTCTGGATAAATTGGATCCTTATACTCTCAAAAAATGTTAAATCGAGGCTTTTAGTGCCACTATCACAAGAAGCCCAAGCTAGTGATGATAAAAAGGCTTTTATTGCAAATATTCAGCAGATCAGTAAGGAGGTCAAGAGCAATTAAGCATATGCTGCTGCTGCTGACAATCAATGTGTACAAGAGTTTGAAGAAGGTAAGTTTGTAATAGTGCATATAAGACAAGAGATATTCCCAAAAGGTACTTGCCAAGAACTGTTGAGGAAGTTTGGACTATACACAGTTTTGAGGAAATCAATTGAAATGCCTATTTGATAGAGCCGACACCTGAATTACAAATCAGTCCAATCTTTAATGTGTTTGGCTTACATTCATTTGAGGGATTTGATGTGGAAATGGCTCCAATTTGTAAACAAGTTCTCCTCTTCTAACATACAAAAATTTTAAGGTCTAGAAGAGGCAATTAGCATAGGTGATTTTTGGTGAAGTGGTTGGATAAACAAGCTAGTATGAGTACTTGGATTATAGAAGGCGAATTGAAAAGAATTGATCCAAAAAATCTTCGCTGAAGTTGACAAAGTTTTCATTGATGAGGCGTGCCATTGAAAACCAAGGAGATCCATTCAAGAGCGTCCTTGTACTATACTAAATTGATTATTTGTTTTACATTTGCTATTTTATTTTAGTCTAAGGCTTATAATTATGTTTCCATTTAATTAAGTTATCATGCGACCAGCATGGTTGATCCTTAAATGAGTTTCTAGGGTTAGACAGAGTTTATTTGTATCCAAGGGATGGGATTGAAAACTGTTAAAAGCCTACTATAAATAAATAATCTTCCAGACTCACTAAGCAACCATAATATACATAAATATTATTCACAAGTGGCTCCACAACCCTAAACCATACTATTCTTGTTCCAAATTAACTCTATATTGATTTTACCCTCTCTTCTGTTCTAATTGTTTCTACTTCCATACTACATCACTCATAATTTGATAGGAAAAAGGAGTGGAAAATCACATATCTCTATGAAGCACATTTTAGAAATTTAGACACAGAATATTTTGAAGATGGATTTGCATCAAACAAAATTCTTTACCAAACAAAGAACACCCAAAGTTTCATATGCAAGAAAAATGTAAATGATAAGCAAAGCGTAAAGATGCAAATAACAACAGATAAAGTTTAGAGTCAGTACAGTGGGCCAAGTAAACTCATCATACTCCTCAAACCCACATATCTGGATGCAGCACCAGCAAAGCCCTGTCCCATGGTTTAGAGGGCAAAAAAGAGATAGAAAAATAAATATGTCAAAACAATAATACTAGTTGCACATCTATTATATAGTTTTAACATGCATAAAGCAAATAACTCATATATATTAGTTTATTCCCACTATTTATAATAGAAATTTTAACGCCGTAATGATGAAGACTTTTCCCATATAAATGTGTTAACAAAAGTTAGTTGGATTTATTAATATCAATCAACCCAGAATGAGATTAATATGTACCCTAAAAACTTAGCTTTAGGAGAAATACTAGAGTAGAGGCTTTAACATGATATGTTGTTATCCACACAAATGCATGCCCAAATTCAAGAGAAAAAGAAAAAGAAGAAAATGAAAAAGAAACATGCACAATTTAGATGCTGCAACCATTAAATCAAATTTATCCATTACAATTGCAGACTATTTACCGTAAGACAGCATGTTTGACAACAAGAAAAGTAATATTTTAGCAGAGTTGATTCATTATTATGATAAAACTACCTGCTTAGCTGCAAGCAAGGCTGCTCTAGATTCTACATTAATAGCAGCTACCTGCACCCCCTAGAAATCCAGAAAGCAAGAAAGTATGTTAAGAGTTCATTGCTAATGTATGTTTTACATTATAGTATCTCAGCCAAGGTTACTTTCCAATCATTTGAAACAGCATAAAAAGAGCATTACAGGTCTATATAAGACAGCCCAAAAATTAAACGAAAGGATGGCAAAACACAGTTAAATCTTTCAGTCAAATTACATCATTTTTGTTAATAAAAGAAAAATGTATATACATTTACATCATAATCAAGAAAGTAGCAGAAATTGAGGAACAAATAGATAAGTAGCAGAAGAATGATAGTGCTCTCACACAGAATATAAGCATTGTCGCCTGCCCAAATCCAATCAACATGCAAAGACCTGATGAAGAAATCATTCTAGAAAGGAGAAGACAACAAGAGGATGCTGAAATATTACCTTTTGCTCTTTAAGGAAGGAGAAGAATTACAGAAGATAAATGCTCTTAGATGGCAGCTTGAAAAGAAAATTGAGGAAAGGGAGGGAGAGGAAAAAGGGGGAGGGTGGGAGGGTAAGGTTCCCCATTTGGATTGGTCAAAAAAGAATAGGGGATGGAAATGAGGAGTTACATTAAGAAATGTAAAAGAAAGAAATGACAACATATCATGTTCTTTTACAATTATATTCTTTTTATATTAAAAGAAATGTTAAATTAAGGATGATATTGTCTCTAGACCTAGAAAATTTTAACAAGTACTTTTTCTGCCAAATTCTACTAATTTGAGGTGTTTCAAAAACATGGATTTGGAGGGGGTTTTTATGGGGTAAATGTACCGTCCTAATCCCTTCTGTTCCATTAAGATGCTATATAACAAGGGCAAGGGTACCGCTCTCAACTCACCCTCCCATTTCCCTCCATTCTCCTCAATCAATACAAAGCCTAACTTGGTATTTACCTTTTTGACCAAAACAGAAACTACATGGTCTTTCAGCCATCAAATTAGGTGGCATTCCTTATTCACATCCTAAAAACCAAATCAATCCATAGTTTTACAGGCTAAAGTATATCTACCAAACCAATGAGAAAATTTGCTGACTAGGAATTAAATAAAAATAAAAATAAAATAAAACCAAATGGATGGTCACAGAAAAATTTCCTAAAAAAAATAAAAAAGAAAGAATTATAATTCAATAGGCTCAAGCCTCTGCAGTAAACATAATTTATGGGCATGTGCTACCTGTTAGGCCACAAGATTCATTGCCCACATGAGACAAATTCAAGAAGAAGAATAACTAATAAATTACATATGCATGAGAAATGCAAAATTAATTTTACTTAAAATGTGGAAATGCAAAAACATAGTAACGGAGTTGCTAATATATGTGGCAAAAGTTGATCCAACCTACCCAAACCTAAACCCAAATTCACTTGAAAAGTCCACAACCTGAAGGCTATGCCACATGAACCTAGTTGGCTCAGAAATTAAAAAGGACAGGAACCAATTCTCCTCCCAGACTGTGGCTCAAACCTGACTAAGCCAAATATTAAAAGATTCCAATGGAGCACACTAGCAGCAGCCTCCAATAGTGTTCAGAAGGCATACTAATTCTAATGCCTCAGCCCAAATCTCGTTGTCCAATTATGGGAAGTTGAGTTGGGAGCTGTACAGGTTTTATTTTTTTTTTTTTGGTAAGGTTTTATTAATTACTCCTTCCGTCCCATTTTCTTTATCCTGTTTGACTTTCACACATATTAAGAAGGAAGCTTTGACTTTTATGTATTTAATAAAACAAATTCAAATTTTTATAATATTTTTGTACAATACATTTTATTATCAAAAAGCAAAAAAGATAAAAATCAATTCTAAATATAGAAAAGTAAGAGTATTACGTGGTCAAAAATAGAAAAGGACTTCATTTTGGACATCCCAAAATGGAAAGATGGATAAAGATATAGATCAGAGGGAGTATTTTTTAGTCTTATATTTATGGGTCTTTTTATTTTTCTGTTTTCTTGAGTTTCAATTTAAGCTTGTTAGCTTAGAGTCCAAGAACTTGTTAATTCCTAATGGAAATAGGAATTCTATGTCTTTAGAAATACTAAGGGTCCAATAAATCAATATACTCTTCTATTGAGAGAATAAACATGCATTAAATTTTCAGCTTATTGCTTTGTGGTTGTATGATACAGTCATCCTTAAGAGTGATTCCTAAGGAATCATTGGTGTGAAGCTTAGGGATCTTTCTCTTTTCTTTACCCAATTTTTCTGTTTTCTTAAGAATTTCAGATTATAATTTAACTTAAACCCTAGCCCCCTAAGCTGTCCTGCATCAGATCCACTCCAGATCCAACCTGAACCAATAACAATTAAAACCAAAAAGCCAATAAAAATCAAATCTAATCAACTGAAAACCCAAAATGACCTAAAGAGGTTCAAACCAAATCTAAAACAACCTGAATCAAATTCATACAACTTGCTTAATTGACACCTCTAGTTTAAAAGGTTAGTTATATTTTTAAACAGAAAATATGTAGTATTCTAGCATTAAATAAAATACAGATTCTCACATTGCATTCATGGTTCAGTTCCTTCAACAACTAGCAAGCTATGAACTAAATTTGTACCTTTTTAAGAGCTTCCTTTTTAATCAAATAGTTGGCAGCTTCCAGAAACACCATTCCAGACAATTTCTTTGTCAACTATCACAGGCAACAAATAAAGTTCAAAAAAGCAATCAACAAAGCAAGATAAAATATAAGCTACTATAAAACCAATGTCTTACCAATTGATAAATTTTTGCCAAAGTAATCACACCACCACCCTAAACAAAGGAAAGAACTACATATCAATTAATATTAAGAATAAAAATAATCATCTAGAAATTATGCTAGACTAGAAGAAGTTTTCATACCTTCAAAATTATTGATTGAAGCCCAGCTGCCCCGACTTTACCAGCAGCAAGGACCTGCACCTTCCACTGGCTAAGTCCCAATTCTAGACTATTTTGAATGTTGGAAATATTATTGCTTTCCCATAGGCCTGGAAAAGTTCCTGATTCTTCACTAAACAAGGCAGCAAAAACTATAAGTCACCACTGTACAAATATAGAACCTATTTCTTCTGCTTCATTTCATCTTAAGCAAATTGCTGTCATTAATACATTAGAAATTTTCATACGCGAGTAGTAAAAAGATAAATTCATACACATGCAAATGTAACACTAGGTGGGAACAAAGGAGATCAACTTATAAGCATCACTAGAATTTAAATTTTCAGCTCCAAATTACAAATTTATTTGATAATATGAGCGGCAATAACAATGGCTAATGCTGTACGGAATAGGACCAATGCACAATCACAATGCAACATTTTAGATATCAACATGACACAGGCCACTAGCCTCGATCTAAAAAATGCCAATTGCCCCATACAAGAAATTACAACAAACTTGCGTAATATCTTTCCTTGCATCATAACAAAAAAAGGGATCATACAGGATATATAACATAAAAATATTGATCTAAGTCCCAAACCTTGATCATATTACTTCACAGTATATATTAAGTACTCAATGCAATAAAACAATAACTTTTTTTTTCTTTAAAAAAAAGAAAACAACAAAAAGAAACATTGTAGTAGAAGAATGTTATGTCCAGCACAAATATTCAAAGCAAATATAGCCTATTAACAACCTATTCTGCCAATCACCAGGCAGATATGGGAAATTTTCCATCAGAAAAAGGGAGTGAGAGATGGAAAGTGATATAACAAAGCATGCATGCAGTATAGGAACACTTTAGTGGAATGTCATTGCTAATATTGTATTTGAAAAAAGACAATTTTAGCAGAAAATTAATTATTAGAATTAAATAATATATTCCTGTTATCTTTAACTTTCGATCAAAAACAAGCACAATCTAACTTCTCAGCTCCCTAAGTTTTTCAGCAGGTTTGCAATAGCAAGAAATATAGGAAAACTTCAAGACATTAATTTCACCAATCCAATTTAATAATATGAACAAGTTTACAATAGATGACCAACTAAATTTATCCCCAAAACTGTCATTGTTAAAACCATATATTTCAGAAAAAATTTAGGGCGTGTTTAGTTATGGAAATGGTTGCCATTTTCTATCTCCACTTTTACTATCAATATGACCACTGAAATAAATGGATTAAATAACTAAAATCCAGAATTATTGTTGATTAATTTTATGAAAATTAAAAAAAAATTTAAACAGTTGTCCAGTTTATTAGAAATTTACACAAACATGGATTTCCAAACTTGGGTATTTACTTAGTTTTTTTTTTTAATTGAGGCTGTCAGGATTTAAACCATGATCACTGGAACAAAAAGTCCAGCACTCTACCAACAGACCATGCAGCTGCTGGCAAGCATTTGCCAGTTTTATTCTCTCTTTTATGAACATTTTTATTCATCATATTGGAGTAACAGTGGAGGTATAAAATGAAAAACATTTTCCAAATCTAAACAGACCCATAACATATATGCTCAACTTCAGTAGCAATTAATTTGCTTACCGGAATACTTCATCACATGCTGTTGCAGTCACTAAGAACTTTATGACAATAAATTTTGCTAAACATTGAGATTGAATGGGGTTACCTTGCATAATCCCTCAATAGATAAAGGAAAATCTCTGCTTCAAGGTCTTGAGTGCACAACTTGTTTGAGCAAGGAATGTTCAACTTTTTCCTCACAGAAAGCAGGACATTTCTATACGAAGGCCTCCAACCCCTGACGAGAAGATCAAATGGAATCTGTCAGATACCTATCAAAACAAAAACTCAGTTGACGCCAAAAGAAATAAAAACTATGCTTACTTTCTACCAGCAAGAACAATAACACATTTGATTTCATTCAGCAAAGCGTCTTAGCTCACAAACAATGCGACCAGGCATCCAACAAAACCATAATTATGCAAGCAACCCACGGCACTAACCTTAATGTTGAGCGGGCATCAGCTGCTAGGAATAAGAAGCGTGATTCAAGAGCTGCTATAAAAGCTTCTCGCTCCTCGACATTTTCTTCAATCATCCCATCCTCCACATCATCTCTATTCAGTATAGACTTTAACAAGGGACTAAAGTAGCTGAATTTTGTAACAAAATTCGAAAGTTCTAATAAGAATGTTTAAAACCTAATAATAAAACCAGAAATTCTGGGCAACGAAAATAAAGAAAAATCAACAAACCTGGGACCAAAAAGCATTCTTCGAAGCTCATATAGCTCGGCGTCCGTGGCTAATTCAAGCACTGTGCGAAGCTCCGGATCATATTCATACGCAACTGAAAAAAAGAAACCCGAAATTCTAAACAAATTCCAAAGAAGATTCTTTAAAGAATACATCAACAAAAAGAAAGACCTTGGCCGTGTCTTGACACCGCGGCATTACTACACCTCACCAGCCGTATCGCATTTGTCCGCCGAGGAAAACTCATAATCTTAAAAGTTTCAAAAAAAATTAAAATCCAGAGAGAAAGAATATGAAAACATAAATTAGGAATTAAAGTTGGAAGTTTCTTACTGAAAAAGAGAGAGAGAGACTGGTGGTGGCGGTGACGGGAGAAAGGGAAGAGAGGTAAGGAGCCATTTTCACGAATACTAGCGAAGAAGCATATATATGCATACTAATTTGCAACTGTTTTATTTTTATTTTTGTTTGATTCTCGAGCCACGAAACCGGATGTATTGTGGGAGAAGCTTATTCCTGACTGGCTGCTTCTTCACTGGAAAGAGGAAACTTTATATGGATATTGTTGTTTTTTTTGCACCTCAAAAAACTTCCGATACATCTCAAAAAATTAACTTATAAAAAATTTATTTAAATATTTATTAATTAATTATTTTTTTATCTTTTACTTTTTTTTCGGTAAGTTACCAAAAATAAATTTTAAAAAACTTTTTTAATTAACCAAAAATTTATTTTCAAAATTTTTAACTTTACCAAAATTTATTTTTGAAAAAATTCGACTATCCAAAAATGTATTTCCGAAAGTAATTTTTACTTCAATTTCTTTATTGCGATCTCTTAATCAATGTCTGACACGAAAATATAAAATATCTCTTATCGTAATCTTTAATTAAATTTGTAATGATTTTTTCAATGTATGAAATGTTTAAACCTGACAATAAAACCCTCTAATCTAATCTATCGACCAAGCATTGTTTGTTCAATAGTGTCACACTATTTTTTTAATTTTAATAAACGCGCATTTGAAAAAAATCATTAATTATGAAAAGTGCTCGTGTAAGTGGTTACTGCACCTTGTGCGATGAGGTAATCACATTTCATCACACATGATGCAACAGTCAATTTGCACGAGCATCTTTTTTATACTTAGTGATTCCTCTCGAATGCATATTTGTTGGAATTGCAAAAATGTTGCAAATGTTATTAAAAGAACAGTGTTTACTGGTTGAAAGATTAGAGATCTCTATTGACAAATTTACCAATCTACTGATGATTATTGTGTACTAAAAAGTTATTTGATCTCTATTGGTGGCCAAAGGTTATTGTGTACCAAAAATTCATTTCTGAAATTTTTTAAAGATTTTGAAAATTAATGTAGGGAAATCATTGAGAAATTCTAGAAATACACTTCCATAAATTCTTAGGGAGTGTTTGATTCGCGAAATCTTATATACCGAGGAAAAGTGTGATATCCAGAAAAGTGCAATACCCAAAAATTTTTTTTCATTTTTAAAACATCTCGTATTCATATTTACTCGTTTGATTGGAGAGAATCCACGTATATTAATTCTTGTGTAATTACCATAATTTTCTTAATATATATAATTGTAACTTTTCATTTTGTTTTATTACTAATAAATACTCAAACGACAAATCATGTATTTAGCAGCAAAAGAAAACAAATATTTTAATTGGTTGTTATTTTTATTTATAAAACATCATCAATTAAGGCAATAGTGAACATTAACGTCTTAATTGATGAAGAAAAAAGGTTAGAAAAAATATCAATTAAGTTGTTTGTGTAACCAAACACCTTAATTCATCTCTTTGTAAATTTATAAACAAAATCAATTAAAGCGTTTGGTTACACAAACTAAGTAATTGATCTTTTTATAAATTTATAAAAGATCAATTAAGGCATTTGGCACTTTGAACGCCTTAATTAATCTTTTATTTAAATTAAACAAAGATCAATTAAGGAGTTTGAACGTTTTGTTACACAAACTCCTTAATTGATCTTGGTTTTAATTTATAATTTATAATTAGATCAATTAAGGAATTTGTGTAGTCAAACGCCAATGCCTTAATTGATCTCATTATAAATTTATAATAAGATCAATTACGACATTTAGTTTACACAAACGCTTTAATTAATCATCAATTTAAAATTATAATGTAGATCAGTTAAAACATTTGTCTACAGAAACGCCTTAAATGATTGATCAATTAAGGCGTTTCTGTACAAAAATACCTTAATTGACCTAAAAATAATTTTTAAAATTGATCAATTAAGGCTTTTACAAATGCCTTAATTGATCATTTGAAACGATTCATTCCCCATTCTTAAATCTTGAAAAACCAAATAGCTAATATAATTGAATGATAAAAAGCTACAATGCATGTATGTCCCTAAACGTATCAACCCATTTACTTTGCTTTTTAGTTTCTTCATCTTTCTCGTCGCTATCGACCTTAAACCATTCAATGCCATTATATATATACATTATCGATATATGCAAATTTTATCCTTTTTGTACTATTTATTCGTCTATATATGTCATTTTTTCTTTCTTTACTATATATTTTTATATTTTTATTTTTATAAGCATTTAGCACCGTCACCTATCGCACAACCTCATTTTATTGCATGCATGATGTTTTCTTTGTTGTTTGGTTTAAGTATTGTGGTTTGTTGAATGGTTTTATGGAAAAATAGTTGTCATATTTGTACTCATTTGTTTTGCCTAGAACTCTTATGATATGATAAAACACAATATGGCTTGTACCCGTATATTATTATTTGTTTTGTTATATTTTATGTATATTGGTCCATTTACTATAGTGGAGATTGGTTGTTTTTATTATATGGGATATATAGAGAGACAGTTTAATGTATTTTGTATAATTTTAATCAAAATCACAAGATTATGGCATTCGAAGAACATATATCTCCTTTCACTGTAGTGAAAAAAAAATCAAGGGGATGTAGTAAACAAATTAAAGTGATTGAGATGAAAATTAACATTGAGTTCAATCAAAATGGGCAGCCATGTTAATTAGAGGTGCAAAGTTGGCTAGCCACATTGGAGCTATCGTCTAGCATAGTATTTCTATTACGTACCTTAATTGACTAATGATTCTTTATGATAAAAAGGATAGTATATGGGAGTTGCTTATGGTATGTTTATTCAATAATATCCAAATTTTTGTTAATTTGGAATTTGAATTGAATTAATGTGTTGAATTTAATGTATTCAATTTCTTAGGAACTGTTTGACATCCCAACTAAGTATAAAAAGATTATGTTGCAATCGGCTCGAAAAGCATTTAGAGACTTTAAGAGCAGATTAACAACCCAATATAGTTAACCGTTCACTAATAATTTTAAATTATTGGCTCATCCTCCAACGATATATGCAGATGTTATCAGTTATGAAAAATGATCGAAGTTTGTTTGAAATTATCTATCAGATGAATTCTCAATATGCATACCCAATTTGTTAATTGTTTATAATATTTTGTTTAATATATTCGATATCTTAATATCTTATTTATCTTTTTTTTTTCAAAAAATTAAAAAACAACAAAAGAACATTTAAGCTAAACAAATATATCACCATCGAATATCAAGAAAAGGTTATATAAATGTCAAGCATGATCTTGTAAGTATTCACATAATTGTTTTATATTTGTATATGAATATTTATAAACATGTAAACATAGATTCTGATTTTTATATCGCCTTAATTTTTCAAAAATCATCTAGCTCTATAACCAAAATTTCTAGATAAAATGTATGGAAAAAATGACATAGTATAAAGATGGATCGTTCGCAGATAAAGCAACTGAAGAAATGGCTAAAAAGATTATAAGTTTAATTCGTTATTTTATCATGTATGATGAATGTGCTTGTATGCATAACTATATAATGTATATGGTTTGTTATGCACCATCTTTTTATATTTTAGAATGAATTTGCTATGAGATATAAATCCAGTAAACTACCAAATCCTTTGTCCTTAGCATTAGGATCCAAAGATAGACATAATCAAGTTCGAGAGGTTGATAGATTTGTGTCGCCATCACAGTTTTTCAAGAATCAACCCAAACCCTTCTAATAGAAAATACAAAATATAAAGCAATCATTCAGTAATAACAGCAAAGATTTGATAAGTAAGAGCAACGCCTAAATGATCAACAATAACAACTCACACCTTTTAAGGTGATATTGGCAACAATGCAGCCTAATATGCCTTAAAGGCAGTCTATTACCGACATCCAACAAGGGAATGATTTCATGAATTAAGTCTTGTAGTAAACCCAAAGTCCAGTAATCATCATTATTTTCATTTTGTTTATTCATTCAATATATATTTGTATTTTATATTTTTTGAATTGGTTTTAATATTTATATTTCATATTATGCTGTAACATGATGTTCAAACTTAGATGATGACCCTTGCAGAGTCTGTCATTAATGCATTATCTAATTTATTTGAAGGAAATGTTGTTGTCGTTGAGAAAAAATATAGGTTATTTGATCATCCATCAATGTCTTACATTATGAGACTAGAGATTGAGTCATTTGTACCTTGGATAAGATATCAGCTTCTGATATTGTTGAGTATATGAGGTTAACTTATCAATTAATTTAAATATCCAAAGTCAATATCAATTATGCTATATTACATAGTATTATTAAATGATATTATTGATTGTCATCATACAGCCTCCTTATAAATAATATCATGCTTATTATTTTGTAGGCATCATTGGTAACTGATTGTAATTGATACTAAATCATGGATGCCATATTTATTTAATTTCACTCAACCAACGACAATGCCTAAACTCGATATTGCCAATTTAATAAAGATGTATTACATGTTATTAATAAGTGATAAATAAATTATATTGTGTTTCTTCATAATTACTATTATTTTTTGTTTACTATTATTTTTTTGTTCAATTTATAGGAATGGCTATAGTTGATAAGAATAAAAAGTTTAATTGAGTGTCATTATCGGTAAGTGTAAAATATATTCTTTTATATTGAGTTTGTTTAGATAAATATTTACCAACACATTCAATTTTCTTTTTCAGGTTCCTTATCAACTAGAAATTATCGAATATGGATTTTTTTTCTTTATTTTATGAGGGAGATTGTTTTATATGATTTTATAAGCACACCATTCAAGGTTAGTATTAATTTTATATAATAGTTATATCTTTTAATAAAAAAAAAAACCTAAATTTTATGCAAGTTGAATAACATTGACTTCTTATTTTTTATTTATAATGAGAGAACAAAGGAAGCTTCATAAAAGATGAACTTAATGAAATCTGTAAATAATGATTTGATTATGTATTTGGATTCGCTAAACCTTGATGTTAGACAATATTGATTAGTTGTAAATATATGCATTTCATCTATCTAATTTTTTTTGTAAAGGTCGTATGATTGGATATTTATTAATTTTGATTGGTTTATTGATTTATTTCTCTTAGTTTATATTTGTTTTATATCATTCGCACTATATTAAGATACATACCATGTTTA